ACAAGGTCCTGAGTTTGAGACCCAGTACTGGCATGTGGGCGGGGGAGGGCACATGCGCGCATGCGCGCGCGCACACACACATTATAGCCAATACCTACCTGATCAGAGGTCTCAAACCTTTCCCTTAGAGTGTGTACTAAAGGTGGCTTTGGGATGCACAGGTCTCCTGCATCTCAGAAGCATCTTTCTTAGGCACCTGGGAGCCATTCATTTAAAGAAACTATCAGGAACTGTCTACCAGTTACTATGGGAAGATAAAACCCCCACTTGGATAACTTCCAGCTAACAAAGAGACGCAATGGGCCTCTGTTTGTTGACCCAGACCCACTCTCTATAATTCTTTACATCTTGAGCTTCCCTCCCTCCTCCTCCCTGTTCCCTTCAGAGGCCCAATAGCCACTGTACAAACTGGAGCACAACTCTCCCCTGATAACAGCAGTTACTAAGCAGAACCTGTTGGCACTGCTCTGGCTAATGTCTGACTTGGTTCATCTTTAACAGCACATTCGTGCACATGCGTGTACACATGGATACATACACACGCCTAAAGACAAATGCTGCTCCTCAAGACAGTGATCCCTTGTTATCGCCACTGCCCCGTGTTGTTGCTTTCTCTGTTCGTTTCCTGTGTCATCTCGAGGTCAGCAGTGAGGTCTTACCTAATTGTTCCAGTCTAGTTTTTGGTATTCTTTGGGAAATAAAGTGAGGAGTTGAGTACAGGACAAGAGTTACGGCTTACTGTCCAACTCTGTTCCCTCAGAGAGTTTCTTCCTTTGCTGTCAAACTCAGAGGAGCTGGGCAGTGTCACTGGGGCATGAGAAAGATGTCTTATACCCAGGAGACAATGCTCCCTTACTCCATGCCCAGCTTTAACTTGCTTAAAAGGATTATAGCTAGGTTGGGCACTAGTGGCTCACATCTGAAACCCTGGCTACTCAAGAAGCTGCAATCTGAGGCTCTTGGTCCAAAGCCAGCCTAGGCAGAAAAAACTTCGAGTTGCTTATCTCCAATTAATTAGCAAAGAGCCAGAAGTGGAGGTCTGACTCAAATGGTAGAGTACCAGCCTTGAGTGGAAAAGCTAAGCAGGAGTATGAGTTCAAACCCCACAACTGGCACAAACACAAATAACAAGCATATAGTAGAGACACCATAGCTTCTTGTGCTTTTTTTCTTGAACCCTCTAAAGTTAGAAGCTAGACACACCATAGGCTGACATAGGCTGGGGGGGAGGGGGGGGAGGGGTTGGAAGGGAAGGATTGCAATCCAGGCATGGAGATAAGATCTCTAGGTTTTCTAGGCTTGGAGATCCCAGGGGATGCAGCTCTAGGTAGGTGATGTCTGGGAATTGCTTTCAAGGTAGTCTGCTATACAGAAATAAATAAAAAGCAGACATCCAAGTAGGCACTAAGAAACCGAAAATCACAGATTGGAAACAAGACTTACAACTCAGAAATCAAAACCTAAAAGGGAGCCAGGCACCGGTGGTGCACACCTGTGTTCTTATCTACTCAGGAGGCTGAGATCTGAGGTTCACGGTTCAAAGCCAGCCCAGGCAGGAAAGTCCATAAGATTCTTATCTCCAATTAACCACTAAAGCTGGAAGTAGAGCTGTCACTTAAGTGGTAGAGCATTAGCCCTGGGGGCGTGACACTAATTAATTAATTAATCACCCTTAAAGGAAACACCTGTAAGAAGAGGGCAGGCAGCCAGTGGATAAAGGTCATTCATACACATGGGCTGGTGAAGTTTGTTCTGAGAGACAGTGTGCTGTAAGGAGGGAAAAACTGTCTCCTGTTGTTGCTCCATAAGCAAAACTTGGTTAATCTTATCCTTGGATTTGAACTAAACCCTCCTAAATCAACTGAAATATTTTACATTTCTACCTCCTAATTTGTGTTCAAATAGTATTTATTTATATCAACCAAAAAGAAGCAAAAATGACCATCCAATGACAACACATTCTCATCCATTCTGTACATATTTTATTGAATAAATAAAAACTTTATCTTTTTAATATATAAACAACAATCTTACTGTGAACACTTAAAAAATGTAACCTCAGATGCATTGGCATGTTAAGTTGAAGAAATCCTTTTGTACAATTACTTAAAGATAACTTAAGAATACAACCTTGTATAACCAAAATAGTTAAAGGGTTGGTTTCACCAAGTGTTGACTGTCTAGACCTACACCTATCAAAAATGGTAGAAGTGGTAGAAACTTGTAGAAAGCATATTTGAGACCAATGTAGATTTTCAGAAAAGTTGACTCTCCAAATCATAAAATCTAAGAGGAAAACACAATTCATCAACTCCAAATTACAATTTGTGTAAGAAATTCCATGGCTGTCTATTCTCACTGAAAAAAAACTCAACTGTGTACTTTTAAGTAAATAACCAATAATAGGACCTTAAGGAGTTTTATAAACAACAAAGCTAAGTTTCCCAGCTGCAAAAGAATGGTAATTGCATTTCCCTGAGAGTACAGTGTGATTTGAATTCAAGGGCACTCAGTGTGTGTGTATGTGTTTTCAGTAACCATTGAGCCCAGAGAAGATGAAGCTAAGAAGACAAAGTTTCTCTGTTGGGGTTTGGGTGAGCTTGGCCCTCCTACCTTTTTCAAATCAACCTTAGCAAATGTGGTCCACTTGCCTTTAGCTACACTCTCCACTCCATAGCAGTCTTGAGCCTCATTCTTGTGTGTGTGTGTGTGTGTGTGTGTGTGTGTGTGTGTGTGTGTGTGTGCAGTACTGGTGCTTGAACTCATGGCCTGGGCATAAGGTTTAGCTTTTTTACTCAGGGCTAAAGCTCTACCACTTGAGCCACAGCTCTACTTCTAGCTTTTTGCTGGTTAATCAGTGATAAAAGTCTCTTGAATTTGTCTGCTCCCGCTGGTTTTGAACTGAGATCCTCAGGTCTCAGCTTCCTGAGCAGCTGGTTTTACAGGCATGAGCCACCAGCATGTGGCTTTAAACAATCTTCTTTTAAAAAAAAAATCAGACCTCTGGGCCTGGGCACTGTCCCTCACCTCTTCAGTTCAAGGCTAGCACTCTGCCACTTGAGCCATGGCACCACTTCCAGTTTTCTAGTGGTTTTTTCAAGGTAAGAGTTTCACAGATTTTCACTGACTTTCCTGCCCAGGCTGGCTTTGAAATAGGATCCTCAGATCTCAGCCTCCAGAGTAGCTAGGATTACAGGCAAGAGCCACTGGCACCTGGCTAAAAGATCTTCTTAAGTGTATTTGTTTCCTACCTCATGACATTACTGAGAATCCTTATATCTTAAGTATAAGTCGCTGTGATTTTACCACAATTCGTTTGCTTACATCATATTATAAAACTCAGAAACAGCATTTCATTTATACATCTAGGGATTCTGAGATTCTGAACCAATGTGATCATTCAAATCTTACATTCAGTACCAGGTTCATAACTCAGACCTTAAATCCTGTCTTTCCCTGTGTAGGCTTGAGGAGCTCAGAGTTTGCTGGCTGCTATCAAAGGACAGCCATCTCTTATTAAGTAGAGGCTCTCTGTGTGTGCCATTATGTTGTCATACGATTTCCTCTTTTAAGAGTCTCTTAAGCTGGGTGCCAGTAGTTCAGGCCTGTAATCCTAGCTACTCAGGATGTTGAGATCTGAGGATCCTCATTCCAAGCCAGCCTTGGCAGACAAATTCACGAGATTCCTATCTCCAATTAACCACCAAAATGACAACAGTGGAGATGTGACAAGGTAGAGATCAGAAAAAGCCAAGTAAGAGCATGGGACCCTGAGTTCAAGCCCTAATACACACACACACACACACACACACACACACACACACACACACACAAACGCATGCACGTGCACACGTGCGCACACATGAGAGAGAGAGAGAGAGCGGAAGAAGGAGGAGGAGAAGGAGGAGAGAGGAGGAGGGAGGAGGAGGAGGGGAGGAGGGGGAAGAGGGAGAAGAAGGGGAGGAGGGAGAGGAAGCAGTAGCAGCAGCTCTTCCCTAAAGTAGCATTTGGACTAAAACTGATTTTTCCTGTCACTCACAGATGGCTTCTAATCAAGATCTTGAAGAGACAAAACATGTAAGTAGTCAAGTTAGTCCCAAGGGGATCCCTTGCTAAACAACCAAGACTTGTACTCATAACTTTATGTGCATCTTATTTTTAGCTTGAAGAAAAGAAAAATATTCAGTAATGACCTCCTTACCCATTTTGAGTGTTTCTACAGCTGAGATTTGTCTTGCACTGCTGTTTCTGAGTCTTGCTGAAGTTGCTTCAGTTGAAGGTTATTAATGCTAGAATGACCATATAATTCTAAATGTTTGCATTTGGCTTCTTTTCATAGCTCAAAGCATTTCACATACCAACATGCACTTCTATTTATCTTAACTATCTAAGTATAAACTGAACTAAACTTTCCACTATGTCCCCCAACATGAGATAAAACTCCATGAAGAAAATTAAAATCATACAATGAAAATAAAATACCTTGGGTAATACAGTTAGTATATTTTTAACTACAGCCTACGAAACATGATCTCTTAACCTATTTCTTCACTTCAAGAATGAGAATGCATTTCCAATGAGCTCACTGGAAAGCTCTTCACTTAGAACCAAGGGTAGTTTCTGTTCTTTGAGTCAAATTGAGCCAAGCTGACCCAAAACCCAAAGTGAAGGATTTAGAAGATCCTGGCAAATAAAGTTGTAAGAGGGCCTAGAACACAGACCCAAATCACTGTCTAAATCCCAGAATGTACCCATCTCTGCCGTAGCCAACCAGGTTCATACTTAAAAACAAAACAGTAAGCTGGGCACCACTGGCTCACACCTGAGATCCTAGCTACTCAGGAGGCTGAGATCTGAGGATCGCAGTTTGAAGCCAGCCCAGACAGGAAAGTCCATGAGACTCTTACCTCCAATAAGCTATTCAGAAAAGGCAGGACGTAGTGCTGTGGCTCAAGTGGTAAACTGCTAGCCTTGAACGCAGAGAGGCTCATAGACAGTGCTCAGGCCCTGAGTTCAAGCCCCAGGACCAGCAAGAATTAAAAATGGAACAAAAAATCAGTAATTTGAACCTCTTGTCTCAACAGTACAACATTAAGAGGCAGGTCACCAGAGTTACAGGGAAGGTCATTCTGTCCAGCAGTGATAGTTCTCATCCAAAATGGGCTTCAAAAACAGAGATTTCCATGTGGGAAAGAAAAAAGAGCAAGGATTTTAGCTTGTTCAAAGCAAACATGCCTTTCCAAACTGTCCCCCACAGGCCTAGACTATGGAAGAGTCTATGAAATGCTCTTGAAATGGGACCCAAAGTCTCCAGGGTGAAAGATTTCCTATAAAGGATAGAAGGAAGAAAAGAAAAGAAAGAGAAACATGTATTTTCTCTGTCTTGCTGAGTGAATCTTGAGAGGAGATTTGCGAGAACAAGTCATTGGCTACATTTGGGGGTTTGCTTTTGTGTTTCTGGGTCTAAGTATGGTGGGAAGGACACTGGCTTTAAAATGGAAAAAAACATCCATGCAGACTAGCTTAGGTATTTGCTGAGTGATCTGGTCCATGTTTCTTAGCCTCTCTGAAACTCAATTTTCTTATCTGTAAAGCACGAGTGGTAATATCCAGGAACCAGGTACTTTAACCTTGGCTAAGCTGAATAGGTTGCTATGGGAAAGTGCCAGGCATTAGGACCAGGGTAGGCAGGTGCTTTTCCTCCTGAGGTAGCTCGTGAGAACATTCCTGTGTGGTTTCCTAGGTGCCCCACAGCAAGCCGGGGGCACCTCCTGTCACACAGACACTGCTCCTGGCACAATCCTCCGGATGTGGGTGTATGACTTCCTGATTGTGACGCTGCCATGGTGCGACACTCCCCGGGGCAACACGCACTCCTCGGTCAGTTTCTGGGCCTCGGGGTCCCAACACAACACAGTGGCAATGACCTCATTCTTCTCGTCCCTCCCACCGGTGATGTAGAGCCGGTTGTTGCAGGGTGCGATGCCGCAGCTGGCCCGCTCATGGCTGAGCTGGGTCACCAGGCACCAGCTGTCTTCCAGGGGGCTGTAGGCATACAGCGCTCGCATGGCCCCACCTGGAGAGGAAGAGCACACACAGTGGGCATCCGAACATCTTTCTAGTTCTCCTCCCCTTTAACCTGGAGAATTCTACCTCTGGTAAGGTCAGACCTTCCATCTTGCCAAGAGAAGCATAGATTGGCCTAGAAAATCAGAGTAAATCATGAGAAAACAGCAAGTTGCCAGTGTGGAGACACTTCACAAAGTCCTTGAAATTCCATAGCCAGATGTGAACTGGGTTCAAAGGACACCTGGCTTAACATGGCTGATAAAATGAATCTGGAAAGAACACTAGCCAATGCCTCACATAGTCTTGGTCTAGAAAGCACGATGAATACCAAGGCCATGTGGTAAAAGAAGGCATCAGAAGGACCATGCACATGAGGCAACTGGCAGAAGCTGCTCACAGATGCCATCCACCCCTCGTAGATAGGAGTGACATCTCTTTGTAGGTGAGCATGATTTGGGATAGTTGCCCATCTTGAGAAGTAGACCTTTGAAGCAAACACATCATAGAAATGTGAAGCAAGAAGAGAAGTATTTTCTTTCTTAATCTGTTCCAGTGTTTTGCCTCCAAATGTCTTCTCTGATTGACTCTGATTATTCACTAAAGTTATTTATTTTCTGGCATCTCCTTAATCAGTAGTTCTCAATCCTGGCTGCACATTAAAATCACCAGGAGTCTTTTAAAACACAGTTATATTGTTCTGTAGCATGCTCCATTCTGATTTCACTGGTCTGGGGTAAGATTTAGCTACCATATTTTTGTAAAAAAGCTCCTTGGTGACTCTAATGAGTAGTCAGAGAGCTCCCATCCTTAACAATTATGCTCCAACTGTGGTCTGACTGACCAGACTTCCCTCCCAACTAAATACGACTTTTCAGACTCACTAAAGCAAGCAAGGAGAAGGAAATTCCCATGGCCACAAACTAAGAAATATTGATGGTTTCCATTTCAATTTATATGTATTTGCTAGAGTCTGGAATATAGCTTTGCTTTTACTCCTATCCTGAACCACAGCATCCATCTGCTTTGCATGACTATTTTGCCTTCAAGACTTCAAGGGAAATTCCAATAGGGTCTGAACCAAACCTATCTTTTTTGTCTTTTCAGCCCCACCCACAACATTCAAGAGTTCTCAGACTACCTTTTCTGGCCAGGTGCTGGTAACTCATTCCTGTTAACCTAGATACTTAGGCAGCTAAGATCTGAGTACTGTAATTCCAGGCCAGCCAAGGCAGGAAAGTCTGTCAGACTCTTTGACCATCAAAGCCAGAAGTGGAGCTGTGGCTCAAGTGGTAGAGCACTAGCTTTGAGAACAAAAAGCTCAGGATCAGCATCCAGACCCTGAGTTCAAGCCCCAGGACCAACACACACACACACACACACACACACACACAAAATAACACTTATCTAAATTCCCACTTGACTGCACAAGTAAAGTACTCAAATGAAGAAAAAGCTATCACTCACCAACAACATAGATTCGGTCCTGGAAACTCACTGCATTGATACATTTAGCTTCTACTGGCATGGCTGACTTCAAACTCCATTTATTGGTGGAAAGGTCATAACACTGAGTCTTGTCTGTGGCCAGTTTTCCATTGGGTCCACCCCCAATCACATACAGCTTTTTCTTGTGGCTGGTAGCTGCGAAGGAACTGACATGGACCAGGAGGGGTGCAGCCTGAAGAAGTACAGGGCACAAGAAGAAGCTATCAGTCATGCTGCCTTGGTTGGAGTGGCTCATAGGACACACACTCGGTTCCAGGTTGTTCTCAAGTTCAAATCTTTTCTATCCATATTAGAGCAAATCCCAGCTTTGGGGAGATTAAGACTCAGTCACTATAGGAACAACCTGGAAATGAAGAGGTAAGATCACTTCCTTTTTCTCCACTACAATTTACACTGCAGGTTGCATTGCTAGCAACCTGCATGCAGACATGAAAATAGTTCTTCATCAAAATGAAAATAAATAAGGGGTAGCTTCTCATTATGACCAAGCGACCTTGGGCTTATAACAGCACAGCAAAAGGATCCTTAGATATCTAGTATGGACAGAAACAGGATAGAAGGTACCTGAGTAAATGGGAAATAAGCCAGAAAATAGGACTAAGAGATCTACCATCTCAGATCAGCCTTCCCTCCACACCTGGGGCTCTGGCCAGGACAAAACAGTGACCCCACAGAGCCCCACCCTCTGGAAGGATGTTGTTACTGTAACTTGATCAGCAATGCTGGAGCCATGGCTCCTAGGAGGGGGGAAGATCAGAGCGGCCCAAATGCCTCCCATGGAAGCAGAACAATCAGAAAGGTGGTAGCAACCATAAGCAGGTGCCTTTGTTTAAATTTTAAGCTTTGAAATACAAGACAGATAGAGTTGCTTATTCAAAATAATCTTCCATACCTCTGACCAGCAGTTGTGGAAGGGATCATAGGTCTCCACATTGTTGATCCGCTGTAAGCCATCGAAACCACCGATCACATAGACCTTACCACCCAATACCACCATCTTATGCCTCCAGCGGCCTATGTTTAAATACTCAATCTGAATCCATTTGTTGATTGAAGAATTATATTTCCAAACATCATGCTGTGTTTCTTTGCCACCTAGAAGAGATTAAACATTTAAGAAGCACTCAAAGGTGTCACAAATACAGCTTCTCCCAGCATTTTCCAAAATGTAAAAGTGCTAGTGAGAATTCAGAGAAGTGGCTAAGTAAGCCAGGTTCAGAGAACGTTTCAGAGAGGATGGCCCCTGCTGCCTGTGTAGGTGAGGGCCAGAAGGAGGCAGGACTGTTTGTGTGCCCACAAGGACCAGGAAGTAAGGCTGGATGGGAATGATAGGGCCTTGGCCAGCTGGAAAATTAAAAGACAGCTTAAGTTCTGTATTTACTTAAACTTTTTTTTAATAAGTAGAGAAACAAGTTTAAGCCAAGCACTGGTGACTGTAATCCTAGCAATGGAGGAGGCTGAGATCTGAGGATCATCATGATTTGAAGCCAGCCTAGGCAGTAGTCTCTAAGACTCTTATGTCCAAGCAACCAGAAAAATAAAGCTGGAAGCAAAGCTGTCACTCAAGTGTTAGAATGCTCATTTGAAAAAGCCAAGGGACAGCACCAGAGTTCAAGTCCTGGTGCCAGCACGCGCACATGCACACACACATGCACACTAGAGAGAGAGAAAGAGAGAGAAAGGAGAGAGACAGAGATTTTACAAAATTCAACATTCTTTGGTTCATATCTCTGATCTAGATAAAAATACATGGGGAGCCTGTTTTTAAGTTAATTTTATTATGAAAGTATGAGATGCTCATAATAGATCTTTCAAGAGTAAAGTTGTCAATATTTTCTTTACGACAATCATCTTAATAAGCAGAAATGTATAACTCAGCAACTAGGGACCAAAACAAAGAAGAGCTGCTTGTTGGGATCACTTTAACAAAAATATTTTAACTGCTTGGCATTCTTATTGTTCTCCATTAGCCTACAGCACCACTAACTACTTAATGCAAAATACTAGCATTTTCAGAATTATAAATGTTCATTAAATGGGCAAAGACCATGGACAAAGTTTCATGTCATGGGTGTTTCCTAGGGTTGGAACTCAGGAGTGGACTAGCTAGGTCAAAGGCACATGTACAAGATTTTATGTGTGTGTGTGTGTGTGTGCGCGCGCGTGCACGCACGCACACACGCTAATATTAGGGCTTGAACTCAGGGCCTGGGAGCTGTCCCTTAGCTTTTTCACTCAACATTGACATTCTACCACTTGAGCCACAGCTCCACTTTTTACTGGTTAATTGGAGATAAGAGTCTCACAGACTTTCCTTTGGAGCTGGCTTTGAACTGTGATCCTCAGATCTCAGTCTCTTAAGTAGCTAGAGTTGTAAGAGCTACTGGCCCATGGCTCTAGGCAGTTGTCAACAGTGATAAACTTCCAAGAAACATTGGATAAAAAAAAACAATTTAATGTATCAGGTTTGACTACTTCTTTTTCTAAACTTGGATTTCTATTTATTAGTTTTTCTTTCAGAATAAAAAAACAGTGTTTTAATTGTGAAAAATAAGGAAGAATGAAGAAAGAGGCTTTCCTTATCAAAAATTAAAACATAGTGGTAGAGTGCTTGCCTTGCATGCATGAAGCCCTGGATTTGATTCCACAGTACCACATAAACAGGAAAAGACAGAAGTGGTGCTGTGGCTCAAGTAGTAGAGTGATAGACTTGAGCTAAAGAAACTCAGGCCCTGAGTTCAAGCACCAGGATTGGCAAAAAAATTAAAATATGCCCCTAAAGCTATTATAATGAGAAGTATGGAATAGACATATGGCTTAAGCAAACTGATCAATTTAAAAATACAGAACAGGTGAAAACATATAGATATAGAAATCATTACTAGAACAATTGCTATTATTTGGCAAAAAGAAGTCAGAGACTTATTTCACACTACATTTAAAATAAAATCCAAATATAGCTGTTATCAAAGTAACTGAAGAATATAGGAGACTATCTCAATTTTAGGAATAGAAAAGTTTTCTTAGCATGACATATAACTCAGCATAGGAAAAAATGACTGTAAATATCAATCAAAGTTGATCTCCCATAATCTGGGAGAGAGCATATGTGACCCAAAAAATAAAGCAGATGTAATAAAAGCTCAAAGTATTAGTAAGTTAGTAAAATTAAAATGGTACAGATAAACTGCTGTTATTTACTTTCTTTTCTCTATACCATTTGAATCTTCTATAACAATTAAAGATATTTCTACTAGATAAAACTATAACCTAATCTATGGCATGAACGCATCAGAATAAGAGCTGGCCTACTCTTGATTCTGGAGAACACTATCTATGGAAAGCCATCCTTCCCAGACAATTTTAAATTGGAGAAGACCCACTAAAAGCAAGGAATTCCAGACTTGGCTCAGCACCTAGCTTGGGTAGTTATATACAACATCTCTGAGCCTCCATTTTCTTTTATCTTAAAACATCTACCTTACCTTGATAGGAGCAAGAATGTGAACGCTATTAAAGCTATTCACTTTCTATACAGTAAAGGTGATTTAAATTATGCAAATACTTATCAAGCATGTACCCTCTGAGATCAGGCACAAAGCTAGGTGCTGAGGAGATAGTGTTAACTCTCTTGGCACTTTGGGAATAAAGTAATTATAAATATTAAGCAATAATTCAGAAGTAGAAAAAAATTCTTTTTTAACACTACTTCAGTGGGCTTCTGAAGTATATAAATGTGTGACTAATAAATCTGAGAGGGAGTCAGGCTTGGAGAAAGGCCAGACCTTTCATTCATTATTGTATTTCCAGACTTAACTCAGTGCCCTATGTGGAGATCAACTGAGGCCTAACTTCCCTATCTTCTTTCTCCATGAAGGGCCTAGAGCATGCTGCTCACTCTTTCATGTTTATTATGTAATAATTCATTCTCTGAGCTAAGAAATAACCACCTGGGCTCCTGGTTCCATATTGACCCAGAGCTGGGCCATTGCCAACTCACAGTCATCTTGCAGGACGGTCACCTAGCTGGCACTTGGGAAAATGCGAGGGCTACCGAGGACTGGCTTTGGCTTCACATGGCTCCTGCTTACCTGAGATGTAGACCTCATTTTTTAATGTCACGCATGCAAATTCCACCCACTTCTTATTCTCATTCTCCAGCTCATGCTCTGTCAGTGGGAGCTTGGCCACCTCCAGGCGGCTGCGCCTCAGGGGGTCCAGGCAGGTTACCTCAGCCACAAATCGTTCATCCTTCGTGCAGCCACCAATGATCATGAACACCTCTGACTGGAACTCGTGCATCCTGGGCTTGGTGCGCTCCGAAATAATCTGGAAACCAATGGTAAGGATATATAGGCCGGGGTCACAAAACACAATGAGGCGGAGCTCAGACTATGGAGCAGGACGGAGCAGGTCCCAGTTACCAAGGTGATGTTGCCTCCTTGAGCATCAGTTTCATCATTTATATAATGAGGATTTGACTAATTTAATTAATACTAATTTAGTATTAACTATCTCATCTGTCATGAGGATTTAGTGGGATAGTATGTGGAGTGTTTGGCCTGGGGCTGGGGGTGTAGCAGGCTCCAGCTCTATGCTATTTGAAAAAACCAGGACTCTGCTATTAAATGTATTTCCTGCCTCTTCCCTCCTAACTTAGTCTACAACCTTAAATCCTGGAATGGAATTTCATGCTGGGCTATTTCTCCCTCATTTCAATTTCTTCATTACCTCTCATACTTTGCTAACCACCAACTTTTTCTAGAAAGAGAAGTCTTTAACAGTGACCTATAGTGCATTCGGAAAAATAAGAACAAAAAAGGTATCAGGGTGTAGCCAAGGAGGCTGGGGTCCAGTCCTAACATCAAGCATGTGACTCTTCAGAGCCTTGAGCAAAAATATCTCCTACCACAGGCATTTGGACCCAAGAGATTTGAAGGTCAAATACATCATGATCACCATTACCTGTGGGCCTGTCACTTTGGGGACATGATACACATCTGTAGAATGCCTGTTATTGGCTCCATGCCATCAGGTTGTTATGAATATTCAAGAGCCTTGAAGTAAAAGGATGAGCAGGACACTTGTCACATAGCACAGTGTTTACCATATTGGCCTGTCTATAGGCAAAGTAGTAGGTGTCAGCTGGGTATTACTAGAAAAGGAAGGGCTGCCTCCTCCTGACCATCCATCTCCTGGACTCATTTAGAAAGTTCTTGTGGCCATGATAATGGGAGACAGAAAGGCTGAATCTACTTCTGAGATGATCAAAACAACCACTTTCTCCTACAAAGTTAGACTGATCTAACAGAGTGTGGGTTTTTTTTTAGTTGTTTGTTTTCTCTACTCACAAATGTTGATAAATACATTGTGGTAGCAAAGACTGAGTCCTCAAGAGGAAAATCCGAGCAAAGGCCAAAATCCAACCAATACCCATCCTTTACTTTTCCATGCATTTTTGTTTATTATCTGTTTTTTTCTGTTGTCTAACAGCCATATGTGGTCAATTTCATATCCTCTATTCTTGAGGCTGGACCATGGCTGTACATCACCCAGAAAGAATCACCAGAAAGGGTTGTCTGTGGCAGGACAAATCCTTACCAGTGGGCTTAACCCGAGGGCATCAATAGTTGAAAGGCCATCAGAGAAGGGGCTGGAGACAATGGAGTGGTGATTGGTCCAGAAACTCAAAGGCACCCCATCAGCAGGACAAATCAAGACATTCAGTTCCTATCAAGACATACTCTGACACTCTTCAGCTTTCTCTCCAGCTATGAGTCAAGTGTCTGTCTCTAAGCTTCTCTTCCCCATTGCTAAATCACAACCTCCAGTCTGGACCTCTTTTAGAGGAGATTTTGGTGCCACAAAGCAATGCTTAAGAGCACAGCACAAGCCTTTAAACACTGGTTCCCTTGTCTGAGGACCAGGCCTCAGCCTCCTCCCTGCAGCTTCCATTTTTTCACATCTGCTTTCCTGTGTCAAGAGCCTGAGGGTCACTGGGGTACCTGAACTAGCCATGATCTTTCTTCCTGACTCGTGAGCTGGCATCTTGTTCTTTGATTCTGTCTGTCCAATACCCTTCTTCTACCAAAATTCTTGGGTTCCTGCCTGCCTGGATCTTCCTAAGACACCTACTCCTTTCCCATGCTGCCTCTCCCATTCACTTAGCCTTTAAGCCATTACACATTATTATACATTGCAATGACACTTCTTAAGATGCCATTTCTGACTTTTCATACTTGCTCCTATAATTCTATACCTACCCATCACAGCCTTTATAATTTATCATGAGGTCCCTGATATCAGAAACAGCTTTTTTTTTTCCTTTAATGGTTCCTCGGCCACAAGAACAAGACCTTGGGACTGTGGAATTCTTTAAAAGTGAGTGAGTGAATGAATGAATGTATGCACCTCCACAATGGTTGCAGTACACCTGCTGCCTCCTCATAGTCATACCTGATGTAATTCCTTCCCCACTGTTCTAGAACTGGCCTGATCACTAGATTACAGAGCAAGCGGTGATTCACCAAGCTATCAAAGTCCTGATAGCTCCCATCTTCTCTTAGATCACTTGCTTTAGGGGGAAATCAAAAATGAAAAACTCCAGCCAAATCCAGCATATTCCTGATGACTGCCAACAGTCCTGTGAGTGAGCTTGAAGTGGATCCTTGAACCCTATTTGAAGGTTGAGAGTTGGAAAGGTGGCTCAGTGGTAGAGTGCTTCTCTTACATGCATGAGGCCATGCATGCAAGTACCACATAAGCAGAAAAAGCCAGAAGTGGCACTGTGGCTCAAGTGATAGAATGCTAACCTTGAGCTAAAGAGCTGAGGGACAGCACCTCGGCCCAGAGTTCAGGCCCCACAACTGACAAAACAAAAACAAAAATAAACAAACAAAAACGAGCATTGAGACCACTGCAGCTCAGACAATAGATTAACTGAAACTTGGTAAGAGACCAGGGGCCAGAACCAACCATATAAATCTTGGATCTAACATGCCTAAATTTCTTTCACGCAGAACTCATGAGATAATAAATATTGTCTTATATATGTTGCATTTTTTTCTTTTTCGTTTTGCAGTACTGGACCTCACATATGTTAGGCAACACTCTACTATTGAGCTACACTCTCAGCCCTGCTTGTTGTGTTAACTCTTAGATTTGGGGGTAGTTTGTTATGTAGCAATTGATAACTAATATAAGCATCTAACTGATGGGATTGGTTGGGTATCGAGAGTTGCCATGTAACTTAATAGTGCTAAGTGGGGGGCTGGGAAGTTGGCTCAGTGGTAGAGTGCTTGCCTTGCATGCCTGAGGCCTTGGGTTCAATTCCTCAGCACCACATAAACAAAAAGAAAAAAGCCAGAAGTGGCGGTGTGGCTCAAGTGGTAGAGCACTAGCCTTGAGCTGAAGAGCTGAGGGACAGCGCTCAGGCCCAGAGTTCAGGCCCCACGACCGGACCCCCCCCCAAAAAATAGTGCTAAGTGGTAGTGCTAATAGTGAGTCATATATTTGGCCACATTTAGCAAAATATTAACCCCAAAAGCATGACAAATATCAATCTGAAGTCGTAAATGTGAGGGTTTGTTGAAGACATACAAGTTTGCTTAAGTCATACAATGAATTAATTGCATGCAACAATCAGGACTAACCAGTTTAGTTTCATACTGTTAAAACAAAACATAACAAAGGAGACAATACTAACTGCTCATTGTCCAGAGCCTATACTAAGGGACCAACAAAAGTCTCTATGTTGTTTCAACAAAGCTGTCCTCATGAGTGGACAGTGGAGATATTCTTTGCAGCACTTTTTCAGGACAGGGTTGGGACTTTATCAGAGGAAAGATTTTATCACCTGAACCTCAGGGACTCAAGAAGTAGAAAATAGGAAGCAGAAGCAAAACTGACACATTGGCATACAGAATATTGGAAGTACAATTAACGAAAATTCTGTATTTTAAACACTGAACCAAGTGCATGTGTGACTGTGCATTATATTCAGGCTCTGATCCCCACTGCTGAGCTGGCTGACAAGCATCCACATTTCCAGTATGGGGGAAGCCTGGTTGATTCATTACCTTTCATTTGCCAAATATCCATGAGCACTGATACAGAACAACATTTCTGTAAGGCAGAATGACTGCTTATGCAACACACTATGGTTTGAGTTTGGTGGTCCTAAGTAGCTGGAACTTTCAGGGGTGCGGCTGAGTGAGAGATGAGTAGATAACTGGAGACTACCTTCAGAAGGGCTTCATGCTGTCCACTCACAGTGGATTAGTTCACAGGACAGCTGGCTCATTAGGACAGTGGGTTGTTACAAACCTAGGTCACCTACATGCTTGGCCCCTTGTGTTTGTTTCCTTTTCTGTTTCTTGCCCTGTTGTCACAGTTAAGGAATCTGATCCTTGCCAGGATGCTGGTGAAATGCCAATTGGAGCCTTCAAACATAAGAACTATAAGCCACTTTACAACTTAGCTTCACTTGCATCTCCGACAGTCCCTGGCTCATTTTTTTTGTTTGTTTGGTTTTTGCTTTTTTGTTATTGTATGTGCTGGTACTTAGTTTGAACTCAGGGCCTGGGTGCTGTCCCTTAGCTTTTTCACTCAAGGCTAGTGCTCTATTACTTTAAACCATAATGCCACTTCAGTTTTCTGGTGGTTTATTAGAGATAAGAGTCTCATGGTCTTTCCTGCCCAGGCTGGCTTAGAACTGCAATCCTCAGGTCTCACCCTAATGAGTAGTCAGGATTACAGGCATGAGCCATTAGTGCCCAGCTCTACCTGGGTTGGCTTCAACTCAAGAGCCTCAGCTCCCAGACTCCTGAATAACAAGTATTACAGGCATGAGCCACTGACCCCTGACCCCTGGCTAACGCTTTACCTTGCCAGTTAAATACACCATGGCTCCTCTCCAGCTCACCTCATTGCCAGAAAGGTGGTACATCCTGGCTTCCTGCAGCAGTGGGAAGACCTCTGGGCACTGCCTGATGAGAGGATCTGCTTCGACTGTCTCCACAAAGTACCATGGGTCCAGAAGTGGCAGGCGCACATTCTCAAGGATGCAGGGGAGAAGGCAGAGTCGTTCTGACTGCTTGTGGCGCACCCAGCTCATCACAGTCTCGAATACCTGAGCTTCCTCAGTCACATAAAGATCATCACTCTTCAAGATGTGGTACAGAGTGTCCACAGGAAGTTCAAGGAACTCCTCAGAGTTCAGAATCTGCCCAAAGTTTTGAATGATGTAACTTTGTACTTGCTTCTTTAGTCTGTCCAAGGAGTGTGTGTCTGCCAGCCTCAGGATTCCAACACAGTTTTCTGGGTTCAAGGCTTCAGTGAGGAAACTAGCACAGGCATCCACCATCCGCAGGAACTAACAGAAAACAAAGAGGGCAAAGCAGGGCAGAAAGTGATTCATCCACAAAGACATTAATCAGTGTGTGGAATCTAGTAGTAAAAAAAAAAAAATCCAACATAGGGGACTAGCCAAGTACAAGATACATTCTTGTAGTCTATAGCCCTAAAGTCATTTTTAAAGCATGCTCTAGATGGATATATTTGGGGAAGGGATATGTACCAATATATTGAGACTTGAACTCAGGGTCTAGGTGCTGTCCCTTAGCTTTTATGTTCAAGGCTAGGGCTTTACTACTTGAGCCACAGCTCCACTTCCAGTTATATTTATTTAATTTTTATTTTTTGTGATTAATTGGAAATAAAACTCTCATGGAGTTTCCTGCCCAGGCTGGCTTCAAACCATGATCCTCAGATTTCAGACTCATCAATAGTAAGGAGTATATGCATGAGCCACTGACACCTAGCTGTAGATGGAAATAAAATCATGTATAAAATGTTTGTAATGGGGACTGGGAAGGTGGCTCAGTGGTAGAG